AATCAAAAACAAAAGTAGAGATGCATCTTCTTTTTATGAAATCTTGTGTTATCTTACTACCGTAGTAATTGATTTGGAACATTGCTATGATGCCTTTGTTAGGCCATTATATTATACGTACTAACATTCAATACCTTACCGGTCTTAATTATATGAGTGAACATTGACTTTTATATCACATCTCACAATCTTCACTACACTACTGACGTTAGTGTTATGCATATGTCCACGTGCTTGCGGGTCTAAGCACATAGTTTGTACTGCAAGCACGTTTCAGTGAGTTGTGTGTTAGCATGTTCTTCAGTTTGTAGCATTATGATCGCTTACATGTACTCATGTATTCATGGCATGCATAACATATTCTCTAGGTTATTCATTATCATTTTTCCTCATAATCTCTGGCTTATTCATTTTTGTGTTGCGTTGCAGATGGATGGTTTTGTTTTACCACCTTTTGAGTCAACATGTGTTTTGAAGGACAAGGACACCATTAGGTTGGTTTTAGTTATACAAAATTCTTTAGATACATTTATCATGTTATCTGCAATGAAACCTTCCAAGTGTGATCTGTATCATCATTTGGAAATCAGAGTGGAGCATTACTGCATTGCATTGATATTTTAATGGCCATACTACCAAATCTTGAGATAACAATGTAAAACTTGCGTGTCTAAAGTAATATGAGGCAGAATGGATCAGGTTCTGAACCTGTGATGCCCCAAATACTCCCAGACTTACAAAAGTGTAATTGGGTTTAAAACATGTGTTGCACTCAGTGGGTCGCATGGCTTTCATCGCTCCAACAGGCTCACGGGTTTGGACGTGACAGAGCCATACTCTTAGAACATCCCATGGAGTGGAAACATATTAATTTATATTAGTTTGAATTGATGAGGCTTCTACCGATTTTCTTAGTTGCAGTTGCCATCTCTACATACAAGACAAGCATTAGTATTGGAACAAAACTGTTATAGTCTTCATTCTATTTAAATATCCATCTCTGATAAATAGTTATTTTGTTAAAAACATCTTTGCAAGCTGTGATTAATCACATGTAGCCTATCAAGACCATGTTTCAGAAAGTTTTCCACCAATGTCCAGGATTGTAATCACTTCTTTAGGAAATATTCTGTGTGTTTAAGTTCCTTTATTTACAGTTCTAGTATACCTAGATTAATTTATATGTTCGTTTGTTTTAGACCTGTGTGGAGCTTAGAATCGTGTAAACTTTAAATTTGGTAGTTTTCAGCAGTAAAATCTAAATAAAATTTCTTTCATCTTACACTTCCTAATTTATGTTTTGGCTTGTGAGCTAAGTGACAACTTATGGCATTGCAAACTTTGATTTGGTACTGTAAATCACCATTTCACTGTATAGCTATCCAGTGTGATTCCATGTAGTAGAGTTATTTCTAAACCTGAAATTTGCAGACAATGAACAAGAGAAACTGTGTATTTTAATCCGGATCTTAATATGACTAGAAGGAAAATTTGGTCCCTGGAATGAGTAATATGGATCCTATTCATATCTATCAGCAAATGTTTTGGATCAAAGACATGCTTGTTGTAGATGTTCAAGTGTGATTCAAATCACTTGGTCATTGTGCTGGTGCAAACTTGGCTGCAAGAATTTGACTGAAATTCACCAATGAGAAGGTTAACCCTAAAGCAATGCAAGTAGCCGATATTTTCATAGGCAGAGTGGCAGAATCCATAATTGTGAATGAAAGGAAGATAAATGTGTGGGGAGGGCAAGACAGGTAGGCTAAATTGATTGTGCGAGAAGAGCACAAGGTAGAGTCCATGAATAGGTAGGTTATCTAAGCTTGTACTTCTTTAAACTTGAGTTGTTTGTCAGATTAATGTTTTCATTTTTTTTGCTTTTCTCTGATCATTTTACTCTGCTGTTCCGATGGTGTTGTATTCATTTGTCCAGTCGCATTACTATCTGCTTTACTTTGTAAAATCATTTTTCTACTATCTCGACTTTTGGTAAAAATCACATTGTACTCCAACAGGCAATAAAATCAAATTTTCAAATGAGTGGAATCTATTAGTTGCATTCTGATTCTGGAAGTTGCACTGTTATACCTGTTGGTTTGAATTTTTTGTCAGGACAACACAAACAACATGATTGCAGATTTTTATAATATGCAAATTGTAGGTTGCTGCATTATGATCATTCTGGACAGTAACTATTGTTTTCTTTTTTTTCTGGGTATGTATACTTCGAAGCAGTACCTAGAAAAACAGGTGGGAGAGGTGGAAAACAACCTAAGGGAATTGCTACAGCAAGATCCACTTGTGGACTCTGTTATTTGGGACAACTTCAAATTTGTCTTGATCCTTCAACTCTTTTTTCATAAATCAAACTGATATGCACACAGAAAAGTTCCGTACGTATTCGAATGTACATCGACTGTTTTTATTGTTCCTAGCGAAGCTTATTGATGTGTGCTTGTTTTCCTTGTTAGTTTCTGGTCAAGTTGAATGCTTACGTAGTATAGCTCTAAACTTGTCTAAACTCGCACGTAATTTGATGTGTGTTTAGATTTAGATGTTCAAAGCAATGTTGTATAAAATTGGCTTGCATTCAAACGGTAATCAAGGTCATGTTGGCTTCTGCGAAAACTATGACGTACGGTCCCACTCTTGATGGTTGGTAATAGTTCATTGGGGATATTATTATTTGTTCATATTACATTCGAATTTTTATATGATTAAGATTACCTAATATAACGAGCAAAAATAAATTTGTATGTAGTGGGGGTAATCTTACCATGGTGACCATAAACATTTTTTCCTACAAACTTTAAAACCAACCAAACACAAGAAAAGTGAGAAATGTCAAATCAACAAAAGTTTTCCTTTTTTTTCCATGTGAACCAAACACAAGAAAAGTAAATACATTGGTTTCCCACCATTTTTTTGTGCGAACCAAAGCGAAACAATCTATTTCTTGGAAAAGTTTGGAAAACTCAAAACTTCAATTTCTTTACATGGAATTGTATTTCCCTATATCTAGGAAACGAACCAAACATTGCTCCTTCTTAGGGTCTGTTCATTTGCCAAAAAAAATCCGGAAATCTCTTACCACCTCAACTTTCAAGAAATGAACAAGTGTCACATGTGATTTTGTTTTCAAGAGATTTTTATTTCTCATGTTTGTTTCGTTTTTAATTTTCGAGAAATGAATCGCCACGTAGGCTGCCACCTCAAACTTTTGTTTGTTTCGTTTTTAATTTTCGAGAAATGAATCGCCACGTAGGCTGCCACCTCAAACTTTCAAGAAATGTGTTTTCACACCAAATTGGGCTGAAAACACTTGGAAATGTCCCATCTAAGAATTATTAATTAGTAAAATCACTGTTGGAATAGTGCAGAATAATAAAACATAATATTTAATACCCCAATTTCTCATTTCCTATTTCTTGTTCTCAAACAAACAAAAGAAATAGAAAACTGGGCACTGTTACTATGGAGGCTTTTTTTATCTATTTGTGTGACTTGGCATTGAAATATGAAGTTTTCTTTGCGAAACAAACAAAAAAAAAAAGAAATCTGGGAAATGTGCTTGAAATGTATTAAAATCATTTCAAGGATGAGTTTTCCATTTCCGATTTTTTTTTTGGAAATAACCAAACAGGCCCTTAGATTTCTCCTTTACACTTGTACGACTGACAGGTGCCACATTTTGACTATGCAAATGTTCATCTTCATCATCCGGCACGTTAATGGGTTTAGTACTAAACTCGCTGTAAACATAGTTTGCAAAGTCACCCCTAGCTTCATCATCCCACAAGATGCGTTGCAAGTCATCAAAATGTTCCAAAGGCTTATTCGCGTATGCTTCAAGCCTAGAGCTATCCCACCTCGTCCTGCAAAAAGCAAGTATAGGTTTTAGCTTCAATTGCACAATATGTAAATCTTACTACATGACTAATTAATGTATGTGAGTATACCTGTATCCATCTTGCATATGTTTCTTCATTCAACCTGATGGTCTTAGATTCTTCATCCCAACGAGCATCTCTAATGGGGAAGCAACTAAGCATGTCTTGAAATCTAGTCCTCAAGAGTTTTCATATGATAAATGACATTGTCTGCGGTGAAATCAGTCTTGTAAATCCTATTAATTTTCATGGCCGCCATAACTTCATGAAATCATCAGTCTTGTAAATCCTATTAATCTAGTCCTCAAGAGTTTTCATATGATAACTGAATACGTCTCCCCCTGCTGCCTCGTCTTCCTGCTCGTTCCTTGGGCCGCCGTCGAGCTGCCCGCTCTCAAGAACGCGTCTTCATTCGACCTAAAAGGAAATGTTTGGGGTTGGGAACTCCGACCATTTCGAATTAGGATTTTGAAATGGTCGGAGTTCCCAACCCATGCTAAATTAGTCGGGGTTTCGAACCCCGACTAATTTAGCAGCTCCAAAAATAGTCGGGTTGTAAACCCCAACTATTTAGCATCGCGTTTAAAAAAAAATCGACCCACTTTCTGACCACAATGCTGACGTGGCCAGAAAGTGAGTCGATTTTTGTAATAAAATCAGAAGGGGGTCTATTTAAAAAAAAATATGAATAAGTTTATTTAGAAAATTTCTTCGCCTATAAATTATATGAAAAGCTGAGAAAGCCAAAGCAGCAGTAATGGTACAAAAAACAACTTGTATGTCAAATTGCATCACAGTTTTGATGATACCCTCTGCCTCTCTACATTTTGTCCCACTTCTGAAATTGCTTCCAACAGTTCAGTTGTATTCAACCAGAATCCAACTCCCAAACTTCACTCAACGCTGCTCCTCAACTACCGGAAGGAGCATTGTTCTAAAATCGAGTTCTCAGCGAATGCGATCCTATGTATGTTACACACACACACAGCTACGTCTTTAGTCATAGTAATACACATTTTTCGACATGGACAGTGGTTACCAAAAAAGTTCCACTGAAGCCAATAGTATTACTTGAACAAGATAAATAGATATAACAACACTTCGAACTTCGCTATGAAAATGTTAATATCATATACAACAAACACGAGTTACAGAGAAATGTAATCACAATAATCTTCGGCACGAATTTTACATTGAGAGTTTTACCAATCACATTTCAACGTAATTTAATTATAGTTACATGAGACAATGTCACTCATAATCTCATAAATAAAAACTGTTGTACTTCATGAACCAGAACTTGATTGAAGTGCTACTAAGGAGGCATAAACCCCATCCTTGATATTCATCAGTGTTTCATGCTTCCCTTTCTCTATGATCATACCATTTTTAACGACCGCTATTACATCAGCACCTTTAATTGTAGACAACTGATGGGCGATAACTACTGTGGTCCTATTTACCATAACTCGGTCCAATGCTTCCTGAACAACACGTTCAGATTCAGCATCAAGGGCACTTGTTGCCTCGTCAAGAAGCAAAATTTTGGGATGCTTCACGATGGCACGTGCAATCGCCACCCGTTGCTTCTGACCGCCCGATAGCTGGATCCCTTGCTCTCCAACCAATGTATCATAACCCTGTAATTGTAAAATCAGAGAAAGGATACAAATCTTTGGGTTATTTCTGTCTTAGTCCCCCAAATCAATGAAACTGATATCAGGTACGCAAAATCAAAAAAAAAAATAATAATAATAATAATAATAAACCAACCCAACCCACCATTTGAATCAGGAAGATTATTCATTCAACCTTAACTTGTTTGGGTGTTCAGTTATGCCCCTTCTGATACAAACCCATCCCTATTTTGTGGTGACAGAGAAAGGATGCTCGTGTTGATTTTGGGGGCAACTACGAGGGAAAGAATTTTCCCTTCTCAAAAGATGGACCGATATTTAGAGAAAAAGAGGGAAAACACAAACATGTTTTTTAATAGAACCCAACCATGGTTAGTTTGATAATTGTCTATCCATAGTTAATTTCAAAAAATTTAACCCAACCATGGTTAACAAATGAATAGATTTTTAATGAAGAGACTAATTTCAAAAAAATTATATGATTTGGGGACCTAATAGTAATTTCAATGATTTGAGGGACTAATCTCAAAATATGAAAGATTTGAGGGATTAATATCAAAATAAGAAACAGAGAGTAAGTGCTAGGAGAAGCTAATGAATTTCATTTCTGCCAAGAGTAGGGGTGCAAATGGTTCGCATACTGCTCGGATATAATACCTATCATATTCGTATCCACTTACCAATCATAGATATCCTAATCATATCCTCTAAAATTGAATATGGATACGGATATACATGCGGATATAAAACGGATATGACAAAACTAAAAAATATTGAAGGAAAAAATTGTTCATACAATATTAGAGAGTTCATTAATATATTCATCATATCTGAAAAGCTAAGATTAGATATCTTGATCATCAAAATTAACCTCAAATCCATTAATCTAGGATTAAAACGGTTGCAAGTATATGATCAACAAATATTTGATATTTTGGATACCGATCTGGATATTTCACTACATATACATATCCGTAACCATGTCCTATCGGATATAGATTTAGCAACCATATCCCTATCCGTTAATATTTCTTTGGACATGGGTATTTTTTTCCAACCCTAGTCAAGAGTCAACCAAATTCTCCTCAAATTTTATTGTAACTTCTTATAAAAATCCCTAAGAAAGAAAAACTGCCCCATCTGGCAAGGGGTTAAGAGAAGGGTTAAAGGGGTTTAACCCCTCCTTAACTATCCTAACAGGTTAATTTAGTCAAAGGGTTAACAAACCCTTTACAAAGGTTAAAGATAGTCAACTTAACAAATCTGCCCAAAGAGGAGTAAGAGTTACTCCCTCTCGAAATAAGAAATAAAACTTTAAGGCCCCGTTTGGTAAAGGGTTAATGAAGAGGGATTAAGGAGAAAGATTAACACAGTTAGCCCATTCGATAATCCAAATGAGTAAATTATTAACCAGTTATATAAGTTTTATTTTAACCCTTATGATCATTTTTAGTGTTTGGGAATAACAATGACTTTGACTATTTTCTTTATAATTAGAGGCATTAGCTCTTAGTCCTTCTAAATAGGAGTAATAGTAAACCCCTCATTTTGAGGGGTTAACTCATTTTAATCCCTCTAGATGGGTTAGCTTAACCTTTCTATATATTTTATATTTGACAAATTATAAAGGGTTAACTCACTTTAATCTTATATAGATTTTTTGTGTTTGGCGGGTTAAGAAGAGGTTAAGTCTCCTTAACCTCTCACTTAACCCTTTGCCAAACAACACCTAAAAATATATATATTTTAGGATATTTTTGGCAACTAGTTTCCTTATCCCTTATTTATTTGCCTGCCAAACACAAAAAACTTAACTCTTCATCTTGACTATCATATCCAAACGGAATTAAGCTATTTTTAACCTCTCGTGAAGGGTTAACTCAATTTAGTCCTTCCCCTTAACACTTTCCCCTCTAACCCCTTGCCAAATGGCGACTTCTCTAGGATTAGAATTTCGGAATTTATTCATGGGTTAGAGTCAACCTGCTGCAGATTGCATATGAACCTGTGGGCATTCGCTGACTCAGCAGCAGCAACAATCTCAGCCTCAGTAGCTTCTCCTCCTTTTCCATAGGCAATGTTAGCTCGAATACTGTTGTTAAACAAGGATGGCTCTTGACTTACAAGACCCATCTGTTGCCTCAGCCATTTCACCTGAAACTTTTCTATCCCAATTCCATCTATCAATATATGACCTGAATCGGGATCATAAAATCTCTGTAATAAAGCTATCGCGGTTGATTTACCGCTTCCGCTCTCTCCAACCAATGCAAGAGTCTGAAAAATGAAATGGAGCTTGTCAGACTTTAGAGATGGCTTTCATTAGTTCAACATGGTGATTGTTCGTGTGATAAGGTGCAGCTAATATATCACTCTCTTTAAAAGTACAAGTTCGTGAAAATCTTTAAATAGTCAATATTACCCTTAATTATTTTAAATATTACATTGTTATCCTAATCTGTTTTAATTATCCTATCTTCTTTGAAATGGTAATTAAATGATTTATCCTATTCGTAATGAGACCTAGCATGCTATTGAATAAAGGAGATACGTTTGATATAAATCAAATCCTTTATTATTTTAGTTCGCAGAAAAATCCAAAAAAACATATGCTAGCCAACACCTAAAAGTTTTTGGACTTTGTATAAAAAATCCTCCAAGTTTTTTAAATTGCAAAAACTCCCCTACAAATTCAAAATTTTATTAAAATAACTTAAAAATTATAAATTTTACTTATTTTAATTCAGTGAGAAATCTGAAAAATATATGCTAGCAAGAAACTGAATTTTTTTTACTTAGATAAAGTATCTCGTAAGCTTTAAAAATTGCAAAAACACTCCTAAAAATTCAAAATTTGTAAAAAATGCCTTGAATATTTTAAACCTATAAACACACTAAAAACCTACAAATAACATAAACAACCCCTAAAAATTTATAAAATTTACAATAAACACTCTAAATTTTTTACTAATCTATACTACATATAAAAGAGGATTGCCATGTCAAAACTTTTGATTTTTATTTTTACCCCTTTAAGTTTGATAATTCTTAAATATATCATTAATTCTAATTAATCATTCACTAATTATATATAACCTCTTATTAATTATACGTTTCCTCACTTATTCAAAATATTTGGTCACACTATTATTTTATTATTTAATTATATTATTTAATAGAAAATTTGAAATTTATCCCTAATTTATCTTCACATAAAATTTAAAATTCTATAAAAATTAAAAATAACAAAAATTCATTAGGCTTATGCCTATAACTTTGGGTTTCACCTCTTATGGAGGATTACCTGTTACCTTATATCTTATTAGCCTTTCAAAAAAATATGATAATAGTATGAAAAAAAAAATTATTTACTGTAATTGTAATAGTATTAATAGTATAATAATTTTAATAGTATTTTTTAATTAATAAATTACACTGTAATTTAATAATTATACAATTTAGTAAATTATTTACTTATAGTATAATAAACTAATTATTAAATTAAAATATAGTTACTAATAGTATTATAATTATGCCAAGTATAATATTATTTATTTAAAAGATAAAAAACTATTTAATATATTATAATTATTTTAATAAATTATAATAATTATCCAAACTATAATTGATCATTCAGTTATTTATATATAGTTTTACAATTTATTCATTTAAATAAAATTGTAATTTTTCAGAATTTATATTGGTATATAAGTTATTTCATTCTTTGTAGCCAACAAAAAAAATAAAAAATTATAAAATAAAGCGGGATGCTCTTGTGCAAAGCACGTGCACTATACTAGTAGTAGGAAAAGCATAGGAAGCACTGAAGACCTTGAATCCATGCAGACGAATTTATATGATAAATCAACTAATGCAACTATAAGAATGTTATTGTTTGACTATGTCTTATCAGTCTTGATCATGAAAAATATTTGGTAGAATAAGCTACTCTCTATTGGTTGCACTAGTTTTTTCTAACATTACCAAAACTTAATTTCGCTATTATGAATATAGACTCCAAGTCTCCAATAATGCACCAAACTTTTTACACAAACAATATATCTCAACTAAGCATTTCAAGTATTCAGAAAAAATAAAAAAATAAAAAAAAGCGTTGCAGCATTTTTCAAAGTGACAAAGATTAACCGATAACTGTTTTGTACTCAGCAATAAACTTATTTAACTTGTGAAAAATAAATCACGAAACACATTGCACTGATATTAAATGTACCTTTCCTGAAGGAACTGACAAGGATAAGTCTTGGAAAATCTGGACATGTGGCCTTGTTGGATATTTGAAATTGATATGCCGAAACTCAATGTTTCCATTTAGCATTTCTAATTTTGTCCCGGAATCATCATTAGCATCTATCTTAGACTTGTGATCAAGAACTGCAAACACAGAAGCTGCAGCAGCTTTCGCTTTTCTAGAATCTGTTGCTGTGGCACTTGTTTGAGAAATTCCAATGGCTGCCATAGAGAGAGCAAAGATAACCTGCTCACATTGAGATAAGGCTTTAACAATGATCCAGCATATGAAAACAACAACAATGCCAAGAATGATGTCAATAGTTTAAGTACAACTAAAGCTGTCATCATAGTGGTGGCAATGCGTGTAATAGAAGTTACTGTTTGTTTTTATCCAGCATTTGAGATTTATATTTGACTTTATTTACTAATGACCTTTGGTTGAAGCTAACTGTCTTCGTAAACCTTAAACGAGTTATGTTCTGCATTCAATGTTGGTAATTACACATAAGAACAACATCTAGAATGAATTTAATTTCACAAGCAAATGTGATTCCTTTGATTAACTCTACATGTTCTGTATGAGGCTACTTTTAGTCATCAAATCTCTAAAGTGCAGGTTGAAAAGTCTTGACGATGTCTGAAACTCGCTTTAATTACACTTAATGATTCAATATTTCCTTTTTAACGTTATAACTAAAATTGTGAATGCAACTGTAATTAAAAAGAAATTAATATCAATTCTAGCTAAAATCTTTTGGAAGTATAGATGAGACGCACTCGAAAAATTTCTCCAAATGTAATCTTTCCATCCTGTGCCAGGCGTGCTGCGGCATATAAACAAGCTGCATAAACACAATAAAGCACGAAGAAGGATGCTCCAAAACCAATACCACTAATCAATCCTTGCATAATTCCTCTCTTTGTAAGTCCGTCACATTTCTTCTGGTAGAGTTCCATCACCTTATCTTCGGCCGAGAAAGAAGCAACCGTTCTTATACTCCCCACTGCATCATTTGCAACTTGGCTCGCTTCCTCATACGTCATCTGCACACATTTTGAAATTAAAAATCATCAAAGTTTCAAAGTTCAACCATGTTATATCTTCCTTTTAAGTATTTTTACACTGGAGAAACTTAGAGATTGCACCTTTGTTTTAAGAGCCTAATCTGTATGACCAACAAAAGCAAAGTTCGGTGTTTCAGGGGCATTAACTGGTAGTTTCCTTGTTTGTAAGTGCCATGCAGAGAAGTTTAACGTTTGGAAGTTGCCTGTCAAACATTGGACACAACTCCATAGAACATTTTTTTGGGATTGAGCCATGCACCATGACCATGATCCACGTTTTTTTTTGGGAGAATAGTATCCAGAGTGACATCAGATGGAGAAAAGGTTTAAATGATGGGTGATGAAGAAGACTGACTTCTAGGTCAGATAACAAATTTTCTTTACAGAATTAAGTGCAAAAAGTTGTCTCACAGAAAAGATAACATTAACCCATCATATATTATAAGAATATATATCTTCACAATATTGCTATTGGATTGGTTGTTTGTACAATTGTCAAACCTTCTACCTTGTTAACATCCCAAGTTTAGTGGTTACCCACATGATTTCTGAGATACCTCATGATAAAAGATATTGCTGTTTTAATGTAAACCCATACTCACCTAGATGTATTTGCAATCAAGGTGCCCAACAGCAAGTGCAACTAACGGACATGCTTTACATATTCCTTGTCAGTCTCACCAAAAAATTGGCTTTATTATGTTTGTTCCAATAGTTTATCTAACGATAATCTTTTGATAGTAATTTTTCCAGAAATATTACATCTCAAATTTTTATATTAAATAATAATTCGAATTATCGTAGATTTCTCTCGTCCTCTATGTTACACAGGTATAGGTGGGGGTAAGAGTACGAGTACAGGCGTGGTGCAGGTATGGGTGGGGTGCAGATACAAGACATGAAAATGTTGTAAAAGGTAGGATACAAGGACATGTGTATATGTATACATATTGGAATTAGTAAGTTACATGAGACAGATTTTGTTTTTTTTTTTCATTTACATGTTACGAAAACTAAAATTTCTATAATATTTCTATGTTTCATATGTTTAGAAGATCATACATTGGGAATTCCATTAAAAAAAAGATTATACGTAGGGATACCACCCGTTCTTAAGTAGATACCAAAATGGCCCTTTATAATCATAGTTTTGAACAGGATATAGGCTGAAACAAACCCAACCGGTGTCCAGCAAGTTGCAAAAGTGGACGTGAAGTGTAAAGATATATATTCAAGAAGTGTATGGTGAGTGTCTTAAACTAAAACATGTGTTATGTAATTGATTATATGTCTGAATAAATGAATGCATATTGAAGAGAGTCGGAGTCAGCGTTAGACTCGTGTCAGATGCATGTAGAGGAAACCAGATGAGGTGTCCGGGTAACTTAGCTCTCACCCAATCCCTGACCTCAAACAAGGGAAGAAGCAATACTAGTAATATCAACAACATTCGAACGACTTTCCTACTACTCACTATGAACAAATGATCTGAATAGATTGTGAAGCCAAACCTTTGCATCCGTGCTAAACCCTTTCATGAACTTCATCTGGATCCATCCATTAAGGCCTATGAAGGGCAAGAGAGCCAAGATAATCAGAGATAGTTGCCAGTTTGCAACAAAAGCAATCACCAGACCGGCAAGTAAAGTAGTGATATTCTGAACAAATAAGGCAAGTGAATCGCCTACAAGACGCCTAACAGTTGCGGCATCTGCTGATAATCTAGCTCCAATTGCTCCACTCGAGTTTTCAGGCTCATCAAACCATCCAATCTCCATGTGAACCACCTTCTCAAAAGTCATCAGTCGTATCCTTCTTATTAGTCTTGATCCAGCCACACCAAAGAAATATGTCCTAGCTGGAAGAGCTAGAAAAGAAATCACACCAAATATACAAAACAGTATTGACCAAAGCTTGGAATCCTTCTTCATCTTTGCAGGAGGGTCATAAAATGTTTTAATAGCACTAGATAATAGAATTCCAAATGCAGGAAACAGTGTCCCGTTAACAATCGCAGACATTGCACCAATTGCGAGAGAAGGGATCTCAGGTTTGTTGAGGTACACAAGGCGTTTGAGAGATACATCCTGTGTTTCCTGGGAAGTGACTTCAGTGTTTGCTGCCTCTGCTCTATTGTCTTGGATATCGATTCCCAGAGGAAGTATTGAGAAAGAGTGGCGGCTGCTATTCCCTATAGATGATGATGATGATACACGGGTAATAGAACGATTCAAAGATATATGTCGGCTAGAGTGCCTCTCTACAAAGGATGGAAGAGTAAGCTTGTCGTGGTCAGATTGAGATAAATTATCCGAATTTGGGTTCCTTTCTTGCAAATGGATGAGTTGCCAGTAAGCTCCATTAGGATCTTTCAGTAGCTCTGAATGCGAACCTGACAAAATTTAGAAGATAGTGTTAGGTTTTCTTGAAAGAATGCCGAATGAAAGAAATGATTGTACGAGTAAAACGCTGTCTAGTAGGATTGCACCTTTTTCAACAATTGAACCTCTATGTATGACTGCAATTGTATCAGCATTCCTAACTGTGCTCAAACGATGAGCAACAACAATAGTAGTTCGGTTTGCCATTACCCTATCAAGTGCCTCCTGCACTATCCTTTCAGATTCTGCATCCAAAGCACTAGTGGCTTCATCAAGAAGTAGAATCCGAGGGTCCTTCAATATGGCTCTTGCAATTGCAACCCTTTGTTTTTGACCGCCTGATAGCTGTACTCCATGCTCACCAACCATAGTATCGAGACCCTGTATACAATGCATTCTAATACTTCAGTAAATAGAGCTAATGAAAGACTAATCTCACCACCAAGTTCTCAATTACATCTAACCTGAGGCATTTTGTCTATGAACTTGGCAGCATTAGCAAGCTCAGCTGCAGCTCTGATCTCTTCAGTCGTTGCACCATCCTTTCCATAGGCTATATTCTCTCTAATGCTTGAAGCAAAGAGTACAGGCTCCTGACTCACTAGACCTATTTTTCCTCTAATCCATTTAAGCTGGAACTCCTGAAGCAAAGAGTACAGGCTCCTGACTCACTAGACCTATTTTTCCTCTAATCCATTTAAGCTGGAACTCCTTTAAATTTATACCATCTATCAGAACTTCATAGACCTATTTTTCCTCTAATCCATTTAAGCTGGAACTCCTTTAAATTTATACCATCTATCAGAACTTCACCAGCATCTGGATCATAAAACCGCTCAACCAGACTAATTACGGTAGATTTCCCACTTCCACTCTCTCCAACCAAAGCCACTGTAGTGCCACTTTGTATAAATAGGGAAAATCCTCTGAAGATTTGCTCATCTTTTCGAGTTGGATAGGTGAAGCAAACATCTTTGAACTCTATATCTCCTCGAATGTCATCAAGCTTCTTTCCTGAGGGATTGGAAGCATCAATCTCTGGCTTTCTGTTGATTGTTTCGAACATCTTGTATGCTGCAGCTTTCCCTGCTGCAAATGCTGTTATGCATGGAGAAGCGTGGCCCAAAGAGCTGGAGAAATAGGACATAAGCAATATACTATTTAGACTTGAGATGGATGAAGGAGTTGGACTAGAAACGGCATTTTCTTGCCGAAATAAGCAATTATGCAATTTCTGCTGTGAATATGTATCGGAAATATAATTTACAGGGGCATCAGGAAACAAAGAGCTACAGTGGTCTACTCAGTAATCAATGGCTAAGGTTTTCACGCACGTGTGTATATGTATGTATATATATAGAATAACTAGAAAACTATAGAAAAACAGAACTCGGAGAAGAAGATACCAATTCAGGCATTCTTAAAACTAAGAACATTTGAATACCTTATAGTTTGCCCGATATTGCACCAAAATACCCTGAGTTTAAAACCCTACGCTTAAATACCTGAAGTTTCTAAAAGTTGCTATAATACCTTGAACTCTAAAGTTTCCAATGAAATGCAAAGGTGAGAATTTCGTCCCGAATCTCACGTGACACCCAATTTTTGGAACATTTTAATCCTTACTTTTTGTTAAATGTATTGCTAAACCTGTCAAAATTCAATTTTAAACCCCACCCTAACTATATCTTAAAATGGGATTTTGATAGGTTTAACAATACATTTAACAAAAAGTAAGGGTTAAAATGTTCTAGAAATAGCGTGTGAGTGTCGCGTGAGAATTTCCGAGACGAAATTCTCACTTTTGCATTGCATTAGAAATTTTAGGGTATTAACTTGCAACTCTTAGAAACTTTAGGTATTTAAGCATAGGGTTTTAAACTTATGGTATTTTGGTGCAATATCAGACAAACAATAAGGTATTCAAGGGTAATTTACCCTATAAAATATCCTCACATATTAAGGGTGTCATTCATATCGCCATTAGGTTAGTTTCAGTCTTCACTCTTTTATATTCAACACGAAAAAAATAAATAAAAAAGAGGAAGGGTTAAATACAAGAAACCCTCTTTATCTATACCCTGAGTTACAAGAAACCCCCTCATCTAATAAGTTCAACAGAAAACCTATTCTATTCATAAGAGTTAATAGTTATAACACCGTCAAAAGTTATTTGTTTGATAATTATAATAATTTGCAGAATAGTAAAAGGCCCTTTAATTTACACAAAATTTCTTCCTTCTGCCCCACTCACCTTTTATGAAAAACCTATATTTCATCTCGTTGGATCTTATATCATATCCAAACAGAAAAAGAAATTCCTCTTTTCATATCTTTAATCTATTTTTATATATCAAATCCTAGATTTTTTTTATCTTTCTTTCTTAAATCGTACTCGAAACCCCATGATTTCAATTGGAAGGAGATTGAAGAAAGACGGTTTGAGGACAAAAGTTTCCATTAATTGATTAGGTAGTCTCTTCATTCGTTTTGTTTTCTTTTGGGAGTGATAAATTTTCGCTCTTTTTTGTCCAATTTTCTCTTTTTTTGTTAAAAATCTGTTGAACATTATTACTTTTCATTCTTTGGTTTACATAATAGTTTACTGATGATTTTTCTTCAGGTAGTAATCCATTATGTATAAGGCTTCAAATTTGGTAAATTCAAACTTTGTCATGGAAGTTCCTTGATAGATATATTTGGGGGGAAAATACATTGATGGTCATCTTGTTATTACTTGTAATGTTGATCCAAAAGAAACAAATTAATGCTATCCAGGAAATGCTAAACAGTCCTTCATTCCAAGCTTGCTAAGAGATATAACATAAAGGATGTGCAGCAATGCCTTTTGGAATTAAAATGAATTGGGCTTTCAGGGTCTTTAAGATTTGTTTTTGAACAATAAAGGAGGAAGAAGAAGAAAGATACTTCAAATTTGGGAAGCTAATGCTTCAGTTAAAAAACTAATGATACTCAATTATATCATAGAGCAAGGGATTTTTTTTGTTTAACTAATGATTAGGGCCTTTCTTGAAATTCAAGACAGAGATGAAGGGGGTTTCTTGTATTTGAACCAGAAAAGGAAAAGGAAGCTGAAAAGATGAAAAAGATAACTAACCACTTTCATCCTCCTTAATAGTATATCTTATATTGCATGATCAGTAATTACTAAGGCATTCTTTTCCTATCAAGCACCTGGTCTAGAAGGAAAGGATGTAAGAATTTATAACCAGTCGTCAAATTTTGTTAGAACTCTGGTGAATAAAAGTTGTGCCTCATAAGCAACCTCATTTACTATCGTTAAGGTTTCAAAAACAAAATAAAAATGATATGAATTAGCCACTCACAGGGAGCCATTTAGAATTGCAAATATCACATTGATGACATCACCACCTGTATATCCTTTATCCAATATCAACTTTGAGCCATACCATAACCCCAAACCACACCCAGAGAACATGATAAGCATTACGGTACCAAAACCTAACCCAGAAACAAGACCCTCTTGAACACTAGCATCATAAGCCCTCTTGAGAGATTTCTTGTACTCGTCCACAGATTGTTTTTCCCCAGTAAAAGATGCAACCTAAATAAAAAACATTGAATTGTAACAAATTATTATGTTGTTCCAGTTGCCAACTAAATACAAACTTCTTACAGTGTTATATACTACTTACTGTCCTGATTGAACCAACTGTTTGCTCCACCACAATTGCTGCCTCTGCATAAGTTGTTGCCCCAATTGATGCCATCTTCGATATTATGATGGACATGAATCCCCCAGCTATTACGAAGAGCGGAATTGTGGTTAGCATCACAAGGGTAAGAATCCAACCTTGAATAAATGCAACTATAAATCCTCCAAAGAATGTGGATAGCAGCTGAATGAACTTGCCAACCTGTAAGAATGGGAGGAACTTGAATTAGTTTCATGGTGAAGGTTTTTTTCATTGGAGAAAATGTCTGAGTCTGAGTCTGAGTCTTAATTTATTGATAGTAAAGAAAATCACTTTTACAAATATTAAAGATGGAGGGTGTGAATAGACTAGTCATTTGCAAAAGACATTGTACTTGTATATGGCAACGGTTGATCACGCCACAACTCCACTAAACATGATGCATTCCTCCCGATATCTTCTTCATTATGACTCTTTGAATTGAAAACACGCTCATTATGTTTTTTTTTCCCAAAATGTGCCAGCAAATTACAATGACCACACTAATACATTCATTTTTTCTATTAATAGGGATAGTATTCAAGTGCCAAAATGTCAAAAATTCTCCTATTGAGATAGATCAGGACGTGAGATTGAATTTCACTTTGTAATTACATCCAAACCAAGAGGGTGAAGCACCATTCAAGGAATGGATGTTCTGCGGCCATTGTTTTATAATGACGAAGTTGATGTTTGCTCCCCTACACCCTTTAAAAAGATTGTTCCTAGGAAAGAGACAACCAAGAGAGAAGCAATATGTGCGCGGGTTATATGACTATATACCCTCCAAATCTTCCATAATTGCATATTTACCCCTCCCCCCAAATCTTCTAATTGCCAATATACCCCTCAAATCTTCCATAATTGCATATCCCCCACCCCCAACCCAAAACAAACCAATTATTTAACTTTAGGAATATTTAATTTTAAGAAATCATAGATTTGGAGGGGAAACTACTTCAAAATTGAAGATTTGGGGGAGTACATTGGCAATTATGAAGATCTTTTTTTTGGGCGGAGGGAGAGGGGGTAAATATGCAGTTATGGAATAATTGGGGCGTATATTGGCAATTATGAAGATTTTGGGATGAACATGCAATTATGGAAGATATGGAGGGTATATTGGCAAGTACGAAGATTTGAGGGGTAAATATACAATTATGGAAGATTTGGAGGGTATATAGCCCAAATATCCTGTGTATGTATTTGAATCTCAGGAGGCATTGCTACTGTCCATATCTAAAACACTGGGCTAGGCGGTAAATTAGCATCCACTAGAGAACGATAAATGGCATATACACGAAAGTTGCCCATGGAGGAAACCTTTCATCTTCTGATGTCTGTCTGGCGATGTTGTTGTAAAGAGAATAAGAAAAGATCGGAGTTGCAGCATCAAGCGTGCTAGCATCTCCTTTGGAAGAGGGGCCACGTCTTCATCCCATTAAAATGAACTCGTCGCAATCAACTTAATGCAAACTCGTATAGACGAGGTGGGGTAATGTACTGTCTTCAACCTAGCTAGCTATTCAATCAAAACCCGCACGGTCTATAAACATGCCCAATCTGGAGAAATCCCATCAGCGAGGGAAGGTATGCCTAGCTGGGAGGGGTTCTTGAAGACAGTCAGGAACAAGATAATAATGACAACAAAATGTCCTCCCTCTATTTCTGCATCCCTCATGCCTTTCATGGGTCGATGCTCTGTCAAGGAAAAGACCTACGATCGATGTTGCCGCTTCGAAATAGGTGTATCGGATGGAAGGGCGAAGAGCTTGTTGCCATCCACCACACAATTCAAACTCTCCCGTGGAGGTAGTGTGGCACAATCAATCGAAGAATGACGTTTAAGGCAAAAAAAACGTAGTTTGAGACTATGAGCTTGAGATCATAGTCAGAAAGGGTAAAAAGGTAAAGGGTTTTCTTACATTGCTATCTAATACTCTTAGTTACGCAAATATGACACTTGCATGCTAATTTTAAAACTTTTTTAAAGCTTCAATTTTTGTTAAATTTACTATTTTTATAATAGACTTCGGATAGCTTTAAAATAGAATTACGGCAGTGTTAATGCTAGAATTACAACAAAAAAAATTAAAGGCTAAAGAGTTCTATAATTAGCATTTGAAAAAAAAAATTTAAGGGCTAGAAAGTTCCATAATTAGCATGTGAGTGTTGAATGAGAACTTTTGGGCGGGAATTCCCGCGTCTGCGTAGCTAAGGGCAATTAAGTGCAAATTTAAAAAACTTTAGGGTATAGAAATGCTGCTAAAAACAAGCGAGGGTATATAAGGGCCTGTTTGTTTCGCTCAAATTTGAGCTGAAAGTGAAGGAAAAGCCCATTTTGAAAACTGACGACGAAAAATCTGTCAGTTTTTTTTATTTACGGATGTTTGGTTCGTTTTGAGCGACGAAAGAAAAGGGAGCTGAAAGTAGAGATTTGCTGAAAGTTCCTTTCCGTTCCCAAAACCCCGATTTTGGTGGAAAGTGATCAAAGCTCGTTTTTTTTCCCCCTCTCCTTTCACCCTAGGTTTCTGATCACCGCGCCGTTCCTTCCCTCCATCTTCTCCCGCCACCTGCTCTCGCTTCCACCCCGATTTTCCACATCAACTTCGCACGGCTTTTTGCTCCTCCAGCTCTCGATCTTCCTCCGTTTTGATCTCTTGCGATCTTGAGATTGTTGTTCTTAAGATCTTGCGGTTGATTTGGGGATTTGAAAGGAGATCGCTGTTCTTGAGAGCTTGCGGTTGATTTGGGGATTTTGAAAGGTCGCTGTCCTTGATCTTGCGGTTGATTTGGGGATTTGAAAGAAGACCGTTGTTCTTGAGAAAATAGGGCGCTACTCAGGTAAAAAAAACCCTAAACGCCTTATATTTTTGAGATCTTCAGCTCTTGCTCTGATTTGAGCACTGTTTTTTCTCCGATTTTGAGCTCTGACATGTGGATTTGGTTGGTCTGGTTGAGCTTTGATCTGTTTGAGCTCCGATTTTGGGCATTAATTTTGTGCAGCTTAATATATATGCTCTGGTTGCTTGCCTCAACTATTGATCTGAGTTCATGCTAACATGAATATTAGTAGCAATTTCATTTTGGTCTTTGCGTAAAAACAAATTAGTAATTGATGAAGATCGATTATCATGAATGAAGGGCACAGTTTGCAAAATTTACCATGCTTGAACAACCTCGTGCTATAAATTTTAAGAATATTAGTAGCAATTTCGTTGTCTGTTTGACTACGTTATAAATTTTTTCATGCAAATTTATCATGATTGAAGGGCACAGTTTGCGTAATCAGAAATTAGTATAGTCGAAAAACATTTTATTTCTTTGAATGATGGGAAATGAATCAATTTTTATGGTTAGAAACTCCTTGTCTACATTCAATTAGTTGATAGGTACATAGTTATGGACTTTCTTGTTCTTGAGCATGGCTTTGGGTTTTGATGAACTGAATACGAACTAAGAAACAAATTGAAAAATTAATTTGAAGGCAAACATTAAATGTGGTGACAAACTATAAGCTTTAAGTGTGTAAAATCTCTGATAGCTCATTTGAGTGACTTATTAATGACATTATTCTCTATATGTACACATATTGTAGTTACCATTCTTCTTGACCTAGGGATAAGAAGAGAAAAATATGTATTTTTAATTGTGGGTCATGGACCAGGCTTGAAGTCATCATATTGAACAATGTGACCTGATTTTGTCTGCATTAGTTTCCAAATATATTTTTAAACCCAAGTCTAATAGCTTTGTCTTTTCATTTTGCAAATAGGACCTTAGCAATATAATTAGACAACCATCTTCATTTACTGTTACTATCTGCTTTAATATGACGTTTGTATTTTAGATGGATAGTAATCTCGATGAAGAAACCGTAGTTAATATGTGTTCGGGTGCTGTACTATCTGTCTTGGTTATGGTTATGGCATTCATGAGGAGAATGCAAAGTAGACATAGATCTATACGTGCAGGTCCTAGTGAAGAGAAAATAATACAATATCAAAATAGAAAACAACACCTGAACGCATATATAATGGATTTAGTGATAGTTGTGTCAACTATGTTAGAATGCGAAGTGATGCTTTTATGAAGCTTGCAGAGATATTGAGGAGCAACGATTTATTACGAGACTCAAGACATGTTACAGTGGAGGAGCAACTTGCTATGACTTTGAATATTTTGGGACATAAAACTAAAAATCGAAGTATTAGGTCATATTTTATTAGATCTGACGAGCCTGTGAGTAGGCATTTCAACAAAGTGTTAGAAGCTATTTGCCACATACGATCACGCTTTTTAAGACAAGCACGGAATGAAGTTCCACAGGAGATCCTTAGCAACCCTATACTATCCTTATTTCAAGGTATTCTCTCTTTAATTTGTGATTAAAAGCATGTTCATTTAATTTTAAAAAAAGATTCAATTGTAATTTTTTGTTCTCTAGGATTGTATTGGTATGATAGATGGTACACATGTTGATGCTACGCTACCTGCTAGTTTTCAACAACGATTCCGTGGTCGAAAAGGTGTTACACAAAATGTTTTAGCGGCTTGTACTCCAAACAAGTTATTCACTTACGTATTAGCTGGATGGGAAGGTTCTGCAAATGACTTTAGAGTCCTCCAAGATGCATTGTCTAGGCCACAACCTCATGGCTTGAAAGTATATGATGGTAATTTCATCAAATCTTAAATTTTAAGTAATTACTTTAATTAATATTGGTTTATTCGATGAATTGACAAAAATTTCTACTAAACGCCTTCACATCATGCATTTGTAGGAAAGTATTACTTGTGATGCGGGATACACGACCATGCCGGGTTTTATCTCCCCATATCGTGGTGTTCGTTACCATTTGAAGGAACAAATAGGAAGAACACCTAAAAATAGAATGGAATTATTTAATCTTAGACATTCTTCTTTAAGGTCTAAGATTGAATCTACATTTGGTTGCTTAAAGAATCGTTTCAAAATTCTCACCGCGAAACCTCATTACCCTATTCGCGCGCAAGTGGATATTGTATTAGCTTGTGCAGTTCTTCACAATTATATTGCAATGGTTGACCCGGATGATGACATATTCAATGAGACCGTTGAGATCGAAGATGATGAAGGTGATGTTGCTAATGAAGATGATAATAATATTGTTGATTTCTCTCAACCCCAAACTCAAAGGGAG